TTCTTTAAAATACAAATTCTGAAACTATTTCACTGTAAACAAAATTGATAAACTTTGATATTGTTTCTCTTGAAACAAATTTTGTCTCCCTTGAGACAGTCTCTCTTAAAACATAAACTTTGAGATTGTTTCTCTTGAAACGAATTTTGTCTCTCTTGAAACAGTTTCTCTTGAAATAAATTTTGTCTCCCTTGAGACAGTTTCTCTTGAAACATAAACTTTGATAATGTTTCCCTTGAAACGAGTTTAGTCTCTCTTGAGATAGTTTCCCTTGAAACAAATTTCATCTCCCTTGAGTTTTTCTTGAAACGAATTTTGTCTCTCTTGAGATAGTTTCTCTTAAAACATAAACTTTGAAATCATTTCCCTTTGAACGAATTTTCTCCCTTGAGACTGTTTCTCTTGAAACATAAACTTTGAAAACGTTTTCCTTGAAACAAATTTTGTGTCTCTTGAGACAGTTTCTCTTGAAACAAATTTTGTCTCCCTTGAGACAGTTTCTCTTGAAGCAAATTTTGTCTCTCTTGAGAGAGTTTCTCTTGAAACAAGTTTTGTCTCCCTTGAGATAGTTTCTCTTGAAACACAAAATCTTTGAATCTGTTTCCCTTAAAACAAAGTTGTCTCTCTTGAGATAGTTTCTCCTGAAACTCAAAATATTTGAGATTATTTCCCTTTAAACATGTTTTGTCTACCTTGAGACAGTTTCTCTTGAAACAAAAATCTTTGACATCAGTTCCCTTAAAATGAATTTTGTCTCTCTTGAGACAGTTTCCTTGAGACATCAATCTTTGAATATGTTTTCCTTTAAACAAATTTTGTCTCCCTAGATACAGTTTCTCTTGAAACACAAATCTTTGAGATCATTTCCCTTGAAACGAATTTTGTCTATCTTGAGATAGTTTCCCCCTGAAACAAAATGTATCTCACTTGAGATGGTTTTTCTTAAAACAACTTCGTCTCGCTTGAGACAGTTTTCCCTCGAAACAAAATTTATCTTACTCGAGAGAGCTCATTTTAAAACATGTTTCTTATTCATTTTCATCTAGACGTTGAATACATGACAAGATTCACAAAGTCAACAAAGATTTCATTTCATAACTAAGAGAATTAACCCATATATTTCACCATTGAAAGAAATAGATCTCAGTAAAATTCGAGGACCTTTGGGTCAATATCTTCGGATACTTCAAACACAATTATTACTAACACATGATAATCTTTTGCAGATTTGAAAATCTTCAAAGAGAAGATAAATCGATCAACATTTCTAATGGAGAGTTCATAATGAGAAGAACTCATCCAACAAGGGAGAATAAGTTCATAATAAGAAGAACTTGTCCAACCTTGGTTCAGCATTTCCAGTGGAGAGTTCACAATGAGAAGAACTCATCCAACGAGGGAGAAGAAGTTCATAATGAGAAGAACTTGTTCAACCTTGGCTCAACAATTCCAGTGGAGAGTTCATAATGAGAAGAACTCATCCAATGAGGGAGAAGAAGTTCATAATAAGAAGAACTTGTTCAACCTTGCATCAACATTTCTACTGGAGAGTTCATATGAGAATAACTCATCCAACGAGGGAGAAGAAGTTCATAATGAGAAGAACTTGTTCAACATTGGCTCAACATTTCCAGTTGAGAGTTCATAATGAAAAGAACTCATCCAACGAGAGAAAAGAAGTTCATAATGAGAAGAACTTATTCAACCTTGGCTCAGCTTTTCCTGTGAAGAGTTCATAATGAGAAGAACTCATCCAACAAGGGAAAAAAGTTCATAATAAGAATAACTTGTTCAACATTGGCTCAACAATTCCAGTGGAGAGTTCATAATGAGAATAACTCGTCCAACGAGGGAAAAGAAGTTCATAAATAACTTGTTTAATCTTGGCTCGATATTCTAGCGGAGAGTTCATAATGAGAAGAACTCATCCGACGAATCATCCAACGAGGGAGAAGAAGTTCATAATGAGAAGAACTTGTTCAACCTTGCAATAACATTCCAGTTGAGAGTTCATAATGAGAATAACTCGTCCGACAGAGGGAGAAGAAGTACAAAATGAGAAGAATTTATTTAACTTTTTGCTCTATTCTATCACAGAAGGAGGTAGATCAGCATTGACATCTCGTTCGATTCAATCATAGAAGGAGGTTGGTCAATATTTCAATGGAATGATTCATAATGAGAACTCATATGAACAGAAAAGTGAAAAGTTCATAATGAGAAGAATTTGGAGCTCAGAGATATCAGATGACCAAACAGATGAAAATTAGTGCTTTACGTCTTTGCTTTATTCCTGTTTTACAGCAACGAGCAAAGAGGGGCAGCTGTAATCACCAATTTTCATCCCTCGTACCATGCCCAAGATTCGGCCCGGATCCGACTTGACCCGGCTGCCACCGTTTTCTTCTTCTCCACCGAATTTTAGTTGGATCCACCAATAAAAACATAATAATATCATATATTTTACTTATATCATTATATTTTAGTAAAAGCAAAAAGAAAAAGAAAAAACATAATGATTTAAATCATTTTGTTTAAAGAAAAAAAATGAAGCATATTGTAAAATAGGGTTATATAACCCAAAGCAAAAATGTAAGAAGGGAGGACTCTCTGAGATCGGAAAAAAAATAAAAAAAGACGAAATTTTTGAGTAATTTTGAATGTATTTTTGTAGTTCGAAACCAAAAAGAATCTTATCTTGCATGTGTAAATAAAACAATGGAATGAGAGTGATTAGATTTTTACCTGAGAAGTGTGCCAATCAGGGTTGATTCGTGGACGCCAGAGTGTTTGAGCACCGAGGGGGTTCAATTTTCCATTCAAAAATCAATAAAAAAGCAAAAAAAAAGTTCAAATATTTTTCTGGTGTTTTTATTTTATTTTTTAGCTTTCGAAGCTAAAAAATATAACAAAAAAAGAGGGGAGAATGGCATTTTATCTTTCTGTCAGAGTCTCGTCAACGTTCGGAGGGTCGGTTCGTAGATCCGAACGGTGAGAAGGAGAGTATCGAGGAGGGGAGCAGCATACTGAAATTTGGGTATGATCCAACGGTGGACGACGGAGATCGGAGCTTGGGAAAGTCGAACGGTATTTGGCGATTTCACGACGATCGGAGCGTCCCCTGACGAAACGGATCCCAGATCCGTGACCATCGCGTCAAGATGAGTCTCCCGGTAAATTTTGGTGACCAACGGCACCGGAGGCAGAGGGGCAACCAGCGGCGACCGGGATGGCGGTTGGCGACGACCGTTGATCGAACGAAATTCTAGAGAGAGATCTCTCTAAAAAAAGAAGAAAAAAGAAAAATAATAAAATGTTAAAAAAAAGAGAGAAAAGTTTGTATTTATAAAATAATTTCGGGGAAAATCATGTTTTAGGTCCCCTAATAATTCTCGTGTTTTTATAAAATGGTCACTGGAAGGGACCAATTTAGTAATTTTTCATTTTTGTTTGTGCTTTAAAATTTCTGGTATAAATTCAGTTTATTCCCCCCACTTTTAGCGTGTTTTTACACTTTAGTCATGTGTAGTTACCTTTTAATTTTTTTCTGAAACTTAGTGGACTGATTTTGTAATTCTGCCTTTTTTGTACATGTGTTGTTACTTTTTGGGTTATTATCATTTTAAGTCTCTCAAATTTTGCCGTGTTTTTACATTTTGGTCGCTGGACCTTTCGTTTCTTATTTATTTCAATTTTATCATTATGTTTTGTTTTATTTCAATTTAGTCCATGTTAGTTATCAATTTAGCTATTGTATTTTAATTTCTTACATTTTGATCCTTGTTTATTTTTTATTTAGTTACTATCTTTTGTTTTCTTGCATTTTAATCAATGTTATTAGATTTTATTGTATTTAGATCCTTGTATTTATTTTATTTTTTATTGGTTTTTTTACTATTTTTACTATTTGTTGTTTTAATTATTTTAATTTAGTTCCTTACTTTTAATAATTATTAGGGCTTAAATTTGTAGATTAACACTTTAAACTTTAATATTTATAGGTTTAGATCCTTAAGTTTTAGGATTTTATATTTAGGTCTCATAATCTTAGTTTATTTATTTGATCATTTAGTCCCCAAACTTAATTAAAGTTTTAACATTTACATAATCAAATAGGATTAATATTAGAGCTTACGTTTTTAGATTTGAGCCCCTAGATTCTTTAATTTTCATAATTTGACACTTTAAGTTAGAAAAAGCCTTAATTTACTTTTAGTTTAATTAGGATGAATAAAATTTTGCTTGCTCGCATTGTTTTTATAAATCTAAGGCACTGTTCACTTATTAAGGAATTAATAGTATATCTCCCGCGATCGTCCTCAGGGGGTGACTACTAATGATTCCCTAAATAAGTCTATATCCTTTTCAAAACCGCATCATGTTTTCTAAAAATGAGGCAATGTTCGGTTATTAGGCACAATAATCGATCTCCCGTATTTATGCTCGGGGGCGAATGCTACCGGTCTCAATAAACAAATACCCTTTTCAAACTCTGCATCCTTAATGATTTTTAAATTAAATAAAGATCGAACTCAAAATTTCAGATTTTAAATATAGGGTAATAAACTAGATACTAATTTTTTTGTGCTTGTGGGGATGCTAATCCTTTCCCACACATAACCGACTTCCGAACCTAATTTTTGGGTTTTTGCAGGCCCCAAAACTCGGTATTTTGATAAAAATAAAATATTTTATTAAAATCAACTGATTTTTATGGTGTCTCAATCGCACCTTAAATGATTGGTGGTGACTCCTCACATTTCGAAATATTTTCAAATAGAAAACCCTCGAGTCGGTATCAATCTTCCCCTGCCCGGGCGAAAAACAATGTCGACAATACTACTACATTATCCCTATCAATTTTAAAACGGAAAGCGATTAATTTGTTAATTTTGATGTCCAATATAAACAATCGATATAATTCGAGGATCCCTAGAGTATTTTACCCCAAAATTTACATTTTTATATTTTAATATATTCGAATATTTAAACTCATACGAATTGAGATAACACGTGTTTCACTTGCATAAATAGTAGTCCCTGGCTAATCTTCTCCATCTCTACTCACATCAGATCAATGGCTGATTTTCCAATCAGATTCGGAATCATCGGGTGTGCCGAGATAGGCCGCAAGGTCTCTCGAGCCATCCAACTTGCTCCAGACGCCACTCTCTCCGCCGTCGCTAGCCGCAACGTCGACAAAGCCGTCAATTTCGCAAAGGCCAATAGGTTTCCACCTGAGGCCAAGATCTACGGGTCCTACGAGTCCCTTCTAGACGACCCCGACGTGGACGCCGTTTATTTGCCTTTACCCACAAGCCTCCACCTCAAATGGGCTGTATTGACGGCTCAGAAAAAGAAGCATATCCTAACGGAGAAGCCCGTGGCCTTGAACGTTGCCGAGTTTGATCAGATTCTGAAGGCTTGTGAAGAAAATGGGGTTCAGATTATGGACGGCACGATGTGGGTGCATAATCCCAGGACCCACAAAATGAAGGAGTTTTTAAACGATAAGGAGCGGTTTGGTCAGCTTAAAACGGTAAATACTTTACTGGGTTTCAGCATAGTTTAAAATTTTTCTTTAATTTATGTAGTTCGCCAGTTTCCAGTTACACCTCAGGAGAAAGGGTAAAGCTCAATTTAAGAATCATCCTAGGACCTTGAACTAATGCCTCATTTTTTGTAATGAACTAGGCAATTAAATGGCGTCAACTTCTTGAATTCTATGAATTTCTGGTTCTGTGGATTTGGTTATTGCCTTTCTAATAATTAGCAATTTGTTTTACTCCGTGTCGTCAAGGGTTCAAAAGCGCCTCAGACCCTTTTTCAAGGCGCTTTTTTGTAAGGCAGTAGGCATGAAAAGGCACGCCTGATTAAATTTTCCTTTAATTTCTTTTATTTTTCATTTTTTTCTTTCATTTGATATATTTTTATAAGAAAAGGATAATATCAAACCCCATACTTTGTAATATTTGAGTATTCAACAACAAACATTGACAATAAGAAAAACATGCATATCAACCAATAAAAAATGCATGTTTTGCAGCATATACATATTGCGCTTTACTTTACTTAGGGTAGTGTCTTTTGCACCTAGCGTCTCAGGTAATCTAAGGGTTTAAACGCTTAGAGTGCGACTTTCGCACTTGACAACATTGGTTTTACTCAAGAATTAGTCATCTTCATTTGGATGATCATGTTAGATACTGTTCTACGCATGGGTTATTCAATGTGTTTAAACACAATGATCATAGAAATTGGGATTCTTAGCTCGGATTTAATGAGTCTATTGAGTTCTTTTTGAGTTTCTCTTTCATGTGTGGATATGGACAATTGAGTTTGAATAATGTTATGTGTATAGTTTAGAGATGGCAATGAGTTTTTTTTTTTTGAAATCAGGTTTTGTATCAGGTTTATCCTAAAATTTTTCGAGGTCGGATTTGGGAGTGATTTGCCCCAAGATATTTACTAAATATCATTTCATGTTGTTTATCATATTTACGAAAAATGTCACTAGACATATCTTACTAAAGATTCAAAAATTTCCTTATTTTTCTATTTTCGTTTCTTTTTGGAAATTTATGATATGTATATGTATTTTTTGAAAACGGTTTCAAATATTTTCCAAAGTTAGTAACTTTTCCTTCAATAATTCGTATTTTTATCTTAGGATTGGCATCAGTCTACTAGTTTGTCTCTTAGGCTTCAGATCAGTTTACTCATTTTTATCTTAGGCTTCAGATCAGTTTTAAAGTTTGTCACTCTTATTTTCATTATTCATATCTTTTTTCGAATGTTCTTTAAATCTTTAATTTGGTTCAAAATTCATTAATTTTCAGTTTTCAGTAATTTACTCGGATTAGGTCGGGTTTGTTTGCATCCCAAATCTCAGGATGGGTTTAGGGCGGATGTAATAACACTATTTCCCGGGGTGGCCCTGCCTTGTTGCCATCTCTAATATTGTCTCTGCATGAATCAATTGACCTATTATTGTTTACATTCCTATATATATATATATATATATATATATACACATGCATGCATAAATACATATATGCATTTTTTTTTTGACTGAAATAGAGGAGTGGTATTTGTTTGTATGCTTCCATGTGTGCATGTATTAGAATGTTTGCATGGTACTCGATAAACTGATCTTATTAACCATCTCAATTAATATCCTTAATGTTTAGGGTAAGATACACCCCAAGTTACGAGATCAAGAATATTGTTACTAACATGTCATTGGCCATTAAATATTAGACGAATAGTGACGTGACATGGTTTAATAACATTTTAAGTCTTCAAAACTTATACAGTCTATCAATTTGATCTTAATTCGAAACAATTCAATAAATTAGCCATTCATGTATAAAAATTCTATTATTTAAGTCTGTTCTTCTCCTAAATTGTTTGATTTTCTCTCAAAAATGTTATATTACTTTATTGGTTTAATAACAATTTAATAGTAAATTGTTGTTGTTTTATGGCAGAATGTGGTTATCTAATTGTTGTTTTGATTTGACGAGCTCGCTTGGTTTGACAATATCGTAAAAAAAAGACTATATTGATAGTTTTTAAATATAAATGGTTAAATTTATTGAATTATTTCAAATTAGGACATAATTGATAGAATGTATAAGTTTTGGGGACTAAAAATATTATTATACCGGTTACATTAGCTGTTTGTTTCTTTTTTAACCACAAATGAAATGACTTGTTTGTAACAGTCTTTTAATTGAGTGACCTATTTGTAACTTTTAGAACAAAAAATGACTCGTTTATTACCAAACACATAATTCAATGACCTGAAGTGTATTTTAACCTAATCTTTATCATCTTTCTATGAGATATTTTGCTAATGTTTGTACTTTTTCTCAAACTGATACTTATGCAATATGAATTCATAACCTTTGTGATCCCTTATGCTAGACTGTGGAAAGAACTTCCAGCTGTCAAAGGCCTGTTTCTGATAAACTTTTGGTGGTATATTCATTTCAGTATTTGATATTGATCATGTTGTCCCCCCTCTAGCTTAGTTATCCGTTCCGACACTTGTGTCCAATACTTGGCATGGGAATATGACCTTCAAGGATACTTCAAATATGTAGAAAAACTCAGAAAAATCTTACCAAACTTGTTTGAGACATGTACTTGAATCCAGCACTCCCAAGTACCGGGAGCCGATCTGTCTATGAGAGTCAGTTGGCTTAGAATGTTATCTAATTTTCTCTCGATGCAGTTTATGCTTTTGTGATAATAAAATGGTCGTTACCATATTAATTGTGTGAAGGATTTTAACATGCTATTATGTTAAAAATATATATCTTCTAGCTTTCTAAATCTGTGTCTTTTGTAGACTGGCAGTAGTGATTTATATAACCTTTGATTTCCTCAGGTAAACAGTTGCTTCACATTTTTTGCTGATTCGGATTTTCTGAAGAATGACATTCGTGTGAAGCCAGATCTTGATGCTCTTGGTGCTCTAGGTGATGCTGGGTGGTATGGCATCAGGTCGATCTTGTGGGCAGCTGATTATGAGCTGCCGAAAACCGTCACAGCCATGCGAAATCCGGTTCTAAACGAAGCAGGTGTAATACTAGAGTGTGGAGCTTCGTTACTCTGGGACAATGGCAAAATCGCAACCTTCCATTGCTCTTTCTTATCAAATTTGACAATGAATCTCACTGCTATAGGAACATTAGGAACTTTACATCTTACGGATTTCATTATTCCTTACCAAGAACACGAGGCCTCGTATACTACTTCCACGAAACCCGATTTTAACGAACTTGTTACAGGATGGGCGCGGCTTCCGAGTGAACACACTGTCACTGTAGATCTACCCCAGGAAGTCTGCATGGTGAGAGAGTTTGCTAGGTTGGTGAAAAATATTAAAAAGAACGGCGCACAGCCAGATAAAAAATGGCCGACAATCAGCCGGAAGACACAATTGGTTCTGGATGCTGTCAAGTCATCGATCGAGAAAGGTTTTCAACCTGTTGAGATTGTAAATTAAAATGTTTGATCATTTGGTTGAGATTTGAAATATCTATGCATGGTGTTTGAGTGACCAGTTTCTATGTGAGATTGCTTGTTGTGCATCTCTTTTCAGTATGATATTTGAACTTCATTTAAGTGGTTTATTCCTAACCATCAATTTTAGTGTCTGTTTTAATTTTTGTGGTATTTTCTCTTATTTTTATCTTTATTAATTTGGAGTAAAGATAAAGTAATATCTTTATATTTTCAATTTTTTAATATTAAATGCTCACATTTTTTACATTCAGTGTCTGAACCCGGAAATTTAAGGAATAACAATAGTTTATTTATAATCGAGGTCGTTTGGTATGTGTTTCTTTTTATTTTCTTTTAAATAGATACATTATATATCATAATAATTTAAGAAAGAGTTAATTGTGTCATATGTCCTCAAACTATAATATTTATTTTAGATTGATTTTTAAACTTTTGAATTTTGTAATTTCATCTTCAAATTGTGACTTTCATTCTAAAGTAGTCTTTAAACTTTTCAATATTCTAATTTTTTTCTTAAATAGCACCCTTTCTAAATTGGTATCAGAACTTTTGAATCTTTCAATTTTATCCTCAAAATCATTTAAAAACATAACTAATTTCAATTATAGTTTAACCTAAATTTTATTATTTTCAAGAATATAATAATATAATTTGATCTAACGATTTTATTAGCAATAGATGTGATTAGTATGGATCTATTTACACGATTTAGCATAAAATTGGAATTCTTTTAAAGTTTGAGGACCAATTTAGAATTAAGGTCATATTTTAAGGATGAAATTGAAATGTTCAAAAGTTTGAGGATTAATTTATAATATAGTCATAGTTTAAGGATGAAATTGAAACATTTAAAAGTTTAAGGATCATTTTAAAATAAAAATGTCACACTCCAATAAGGGATTAGATTTATTTTAGTTTAAAAATAATGGAAATGATAGTGAAGGAAGCTTGAAGATCATTGTAAAACCCCTTGTTTTGGTAGTAGCAATTATCATGACCACTTGTTAATAACATTATTGTATGTAGACCCTAAGCAAATCACTCTTCAATTATTAAAGAAATGAGGAGTGTGTAATAATACTATTATCTTTAGCTTATAGTTGCCATTGATTTTTTTTTATTATAATTGTTTACGGTCATATTTTATTATAAAATAGATTCTTAAAATCAAGGGATATTCGTTTTCCTGGTGGTGATAACGAGAGTTTGGCACCTATTTTACCTCTCCTCGTTCAGTTTCTGCAGCAGAAGTATATGCTAGTCTTGCAAATCAGTTTCAACATGACATGCAGCTTTAACATGATGCTCCTCTCCAAACCTTTACCGTCGAACAGACTAAGGAAGCATTTGATGTAGCAAGAAACATCATCGAGCTTCTTTTAACTGTGTTATCCATATCACCACAACAAGATACTCTTAAGGATTATTTGACAACCACGCTTGTCCAACAATGTCGACAGTCCCAATCCACTATTCTCAGAATCATCGATACTGCTGGAGAAAATGAGGCCCTGCTTTTCGAAGCTTTGAATGTGAACGATGAGATCCAAAAAGCTCTCTCAAAGTATGAAGAATTGAAGATACCCAAGAATGGTAAATTAACAGAAGCTGAAGCAAAGCAGAGATTGTTCGAAGTTCGGATTTGGGGTGAGCAACATGAGGCCGTTCGAGCGATGTATTTTGGGTCCCGGGTGATGACCGAAAACGATGGACGATACGGTGGTCACGGCGATCAGTGATGGGCTGGTAGTGAATGCCGTGAAGACAAGATGTGTGGTTCACTAGAGTTAGCAAATGGAGATAGAAGCGATAATGTCTCTGAGACCTCCATGGTGGATTCTTTATCAAGCTTGGATATCTATCCTGATGATGTGGTGGGAATAATAGGTTAGAAGCATTTCTGGAAAAGAGAGCAATTATCAATCATACATATGGAGTTGATACGTGGGAGAAGGAAAAGCATTCTAATGGATTTTATTAAAACTACGTAGTTTAGAGGTGTATGGAAAATGAGGGGCAAATCATGGCTTTAGTTCTCCATTGTTGGTAAGATTCTGACTTTGTCCTCCAGTCTTAGTATAATTTCAACCAAACTTTGATAGTTTAGATTAATTCGTTTTAGCCCTGATTTTAGTAATTAATTATTTTGGTGGTACCATTAGTTTACAATTTTACCAATTGAATCCCCAAATTATTATTTAGATTCTAATAAATTAATTTTCATGGCGAGGGAAATTATTTGGATACGAGTTAATAATTTTGATGGCCTGGATCGTGAGGAAATTATTGAAAGTTGAATTAAAGATCGAGGGCATTCAAATGGAATTTAAATGGTCGATCAATATGGCATGAAAATCGAGGTAATACTTTACTACCTCCTGATGCTTTATGGAACATGTTAATATTGGTAAATGCATGAATAAGATAATGTTTGTCACTTTTGTGGAGTTGAATAATTTATATACTCGATATGAATGTGGTAGAAATTCTGTAACTGAATACGGATCGAATGACTAATATAAGAGATTGAGGAATTGTTAGAATTAAATTACAAGTTTGTGATCGGTGATAAAGAAATCAGCTCTGGATTTGTAACTTATATTTTATATCATTAAAGGTTAAATGTTAAAGGTACTTGGATGGGAAATTATGAGAATACTTCGGTAGGATAAAATTACTAAAATACCCTTATATTGTAAGATGACAAGAATTGTCCCTGGAAGTTGGTTAATAACTCTGAAAAGACATATTGATTCGGTAAAATTTCATATGTGCATAAGAAATGCTAGTTTTGCTTAGGAAATACGGATAACTGGTTTTTAAACCCAAGAGGGTTTATGCAAGATACTAGAAGTCGGTTAAAGAATCATTTCAAGATCAAATAATGTTCGGGAAAACAATTAACCATTGGATCTCTAAAGTATAATTATTTTCGTTAAGAGTTAATACCGAAATTATCTGGTTAAGAAATTACGAAAATGCCCTTGAGAGGTAAAAATAGTCCAAGTTGACTCTGAATAAGAAAGTAACATGAGAATTTGCTTTTAAACCGATAAATTACTGATTTGATTGTTGAGGTCCTATTTTTGTATAGAAAATTCCTGATAATCCGTCAGTAACATCTGAGAATGCATTTAACCTGGAAATCTCCGACTTGAGTAAGTAAATGAAGAATAATAATTTATCGATGGTGATATATTGTCAGAATAGTTCGAAGGGACTGACATAAATGATAAGTTTGAATTAAATAGTAAGATCGAACGGAAGAAAATGATTAAAATACATTGAATTTGTAAAATGACCAAAATACCCCTATAATGGAAATGACTCAAGAATATCACTAAGCTCAGGAATGATTGGATATCATCGAGCTCTGAAATGAATGGAATAAAACTGAACACCAAAATTATGAAAATACCGTTATGTCCTAGACATAGTAAATGTCTTGGATTATTTAAGAAATTCAAATAAACATGGATGTTGTACTGCTCTTAAAGGTTATAGAACGTAACTTAAGTCGGTCAACCAATGCTAGTGTTGTATCAATACTTGAATGGCATATGAACCACTTAAATGCTTGTTTGTTTCCTCAAGTTGAATTGATGATAATTTTGGAAGTACTCAACTCAACGCTAAAGCATATTCGATAGTAAGTAATGGATATCCGTAAGATAAATCAACCACGAATACTAGAATGACTCTAGTATATGACTAAATTGAACTGAATGGAAATGCAATATGTATTTGGAATTCAGAAACGTCTGAATTACTCGGGAAAACTCTGAAGTAACAATAATAGACATGATTGTTAAATGAACTAGATAACCTCAATGAATGAGGATTAAATAAGTGATTTGGATGAGTCTGGAAACACTGTTGAACTTGCATGATGAATTGTCTTTATGGGTTATGAACCATGAATCAAGTATGTTTGTATTTCCTGATATTGTTGAAACATGTAAATGAAATAAAGACAGTTTGGAGATCTATTCAGCGATGATTATGGGGATGATATATGGATCTGCATTATGGTATTCAAGAGTGAATACACTGGAAGGATAATGAATTGAGTTGTTGACATGCATCAGTTTGAGAGTTGTGTAACTCGATTTATTTGATAATACGGTCGATAGTCATAGATTGTAAATGACTTGAATCTTCGTGTAACATCCTCAATACCGGGTTAGTGACTAAATTGTAAGGTTTCAAAATTTGGTGATTTAAATTAGAATAATTGAGTGGTTTAAAGACTTATATGAGAAATGAGGTGTAAGATCAAATTGAAAAGAATGAGGAATGAAAGGATAGTATGGTCATTTGTAAAGAAAAGAAAAATATAATAATAATATATGGTATATATAGATACACGTGGAAGGAAGGAAACAAAGTTTAGAGGTTTCCAGAGTTCCTTTCTTTTTCTTCTTCTTCTTCACATGTGAAGCCAAGCAAAGGTGAGTTTTCTCTTGAGTTGATTATGTGCTGAAATTTAAGTTTAGTTTTGATTATTAGATGCTAAGTAAGATTAAGGAAAGATTAATTTGCTTTAAAACAACAAAATGAAGAGTTTATGAGGATTTAAAGATTTGAAGTTTTTGAATGAAATATCGAAATAAAGTTTATATTGAGAATTGGAAGTTGAATTTGACTTGTCATCAAGTTAATTAAGGGATAGGAAGTGTTAGAATAGGAATTTGAACATGTTGCAAAACTAGTATAATTTTTGCAATTACATAGGAATGACTAGATTTGAAGTTAAAGAAGTGATTATGGAATAGAAATAAGTTTAAGTATGTGTATTAAAGTTAGGAGTATTAAAGGAAGTGAAATAGGAAGGTTTGAGCTGAAATAAGGTGATTTTCGAGCTCAAAATGGGATTTCTGGGCTAGGGGAATCGGTACCCATTCAAGGGGAATCGATCCCCCCTCAAACGAATATGAATTTCCAGAATGCTAGAGGGGAATCGATACCCCAAGGGGGGAATCGATTCCCCCATAATGAAAAAAAAAGAATAAAGAAGAGAGACTAAACTATTAATCCCTTAAATTGGTAGGCTATTAGAGGTTAATTTCAAGACTTAGGCA